GACCGTGTCAGAATATGAACGCTAATTCGATGTTCGATCACGATATATGCAGACACTCACATCCACATGATCAGGATGGTAGTATAAATAAAACAATAGATGATAGTAGTGTAAATAAAACAATAGATGATGGTAGCATCGAAGAAAGGAATGAAAAAAAAAGAAAGAGACGCGAAACAGTTGTAGAGTAACTAGCAAAATTGAAGCAATAAATAAATGTTGACATTATTCTTGAAATGTTTGCATATTAGATAATTGTTGAAATTTTTCGTTATTGAAATAATAGCTGTAATTCAATTGATAAGAAGGGAATTGAATTATATATTTGTCAAATAGAAGAATTAGTTATGGTTCATCGTTTATTCTATTTTATTCATCGATTGAATATCTTTGATGAATAAGATTCATGATTACACTGTCAAGATCTGCAATAAATATTGTCAAACAAATATAAATATGAGAGATTAGTCAAACATAAAAAACTATTAGATGATGTTTTCAATATATATATATATATAGGAAAGCAAACGCATCCCTATGAGCCAGAATAAATGAATATAAAGGTAAACATATGGTTTTTGTTGCTTCTTTATTACACATTATTTTATTGTACATCAACTTATTTGATGAGAATCGTAATTATCCAATGTTCTAATCTTCAAAAATTCACATCTTTTACTTCATTACTAATAGAAGTAATCTTCGGGGTAATAATACATGTTCCAAAACTTACCCAGTCAAGCAAACGTTGAAAAGCGCACATTTGTATGCATTAAAAAAATTTTTTTTCTTGAGAAAATGAATTTCGAAACGTTAATACTTACATACTTGCTTTTTCTTCCAACATAGAAATTGTTTTAATATGTAAAAATGTGCGCTTTACCCACGTAACAACGTTGTTTTTTTTCTAAACCTTCCCGGACTGGGTAGTTTTTGTCTACTGATATTGATGAAACAAACAAAGAATAACTGATTGGATTTCTAGCAGAAAGATCAAGATTTTAATCGTGAATTAATTCATTATGCCAATGATCTTTATTTACTTTCTGAAATCAAAATGGAAGCCGTGATCAGCATAAAAACTGCACTAGAAATCTAAATTGAATGGGGACACAAATGGGAGAATATTTTATTAATTCTAACGATTCATCTGACAAATCCGTGCATAAAAATATACAAAATGTCTATGCATCGGTATCCTTAATATTTATCAAACAACAAATGGTCTTTCGTTCTTCATCTTTTATGAATAGAAGTGTTTGCATATGACTAGTGTGCAACCCTTAAAATTTACCTCTACAAAGCACATATAATGAGACACAGAGTGAGAGATGAAAAGAATCATAAAAGTATAATAAACTGGGAGCCCATTCATCTCAGTTGAAATGGCACTTTTTAAATGCATTGGGTTTGCTTGTTTTTGAAAGAACACAGTCTGATCAGTGATTTAACTATAGTACACAGTAATATCAAACAAAAAAAGAGCATTCTATTCTGCCGTGAGTGTCGATGTTGGTAGGAGATGTATGATACATCCACACCCTCTTTACTTGAAGATAGTAATGAAATTACTTTTCAACTTATTCAAAAGACATAAAATGACCATGTTCGTACTTCCAAAATACATGAAGTTGATCAATCTTTTTCAAATTAATTTATTATAAAAATTTAGAATGAAAAATATTTACTAAAAGAAACTTTATGTTCGATAATTATTTCAGTTACTTTGATAACGTCTTTAATGTAATGTTCTCAATAAGATGAATTTCAACGAACAGATAATGATAAAATATCATTATAAAATTTTTTATTAAATTCTAAAGAGAAAGAAAATCATGAGGTATTCTTATTTCAATGCGCAATTAACAAACAAATTGTTTTTCTTTATTAACAATCGAGAACTGTTTTCTTAAAAATTCAACCAAGTGAAATGTAATGAACGAGTGAGAAAATAAAAAACATGATAAACATCATTTGCTTTGTTTTTATTTGAAAACTCTATATTTGCTACTTGAAAAAAATTACAAAACATATATATCAAGTAAATTAAAAACAATGACGTAGTTAGTAAAATATCCAATAGAAAAAAAACGCACTTTCAATTTATCTTATATTTTGAAATAAAAAATAGTTCTTCAGTTTAGTCATTATAACTGCAATTTTTCTAGTATATAAGAAGGTGATATTTTATTCTAAGACTTTATTTTTTTCTTTATTATTCTATAGACATCAATCAATAGTTCTGATAAATCCGTCGATACAGCAACATGTTCATGCCAATATTATCTAGTATTCGAATTAGCTATGGAATATTCATATTCATGTTCTTTCAATGCAGTTCAGGTAAGAAATCGAATTGTTTTTTTTCCAATTTTGTAGAGAAATTCTAATAATAGTTTTCCGTTGTGTACTCATGATCCCATAGAATATTGATCGTTATTATAATACTGTAGAAAGAATGTTGAAAAAGCTTCCATATAATGTTTCTATTACAATATGTGCATTCAGTTTACTTTACTACCAAGATAATCAAAATAAGTTTGTGCAACTAGAACTTTAATGAGTTATTTATTTATTTATAAATGAATGTAGAAAAGAAATGAATAATTAATAATATGTAGTAGAATAATGAACATATAAAAATTAATTTATTAGATTTTTTTTGAATATTATTTTGTATTATAGCTTTATGGTATAATCAACCGAAATTTAGTCCTTGTGCAACTTGGAATTCATATGCCACTACATTTGCAAATTCTACTACACTTGGTCCATATACTCATGGAATTTTTATTGATACAAATAATACTATCTATGCAGGCAGTTGGGGTATTAGTACTATTAAAGTATGGCGTTACAATAGTTCAACTCCTATAAGAACTATTACTGCTGGTCTGTATGGGCCCTATAGTGTATTTGTTGCAATGAACGGTGACATTTACATCGACAATGGTCTTCAAAATGGTCGAGTCGATAAGTGGACACCAAATGCAATTAACAGTGTAGAAGTAATGAATATTAGTAAAGCATGTTTTAATCTATTTATTGATACGAACAATACATTATACTGTTCTGTGGCTGACTTAAATATAGTAGTAACACTTAATTTGAATACTAATTCAAAGATACCAGTGACGCTCATTGGGAGTAATGGTACAGCGGGATCAACATCAACATTGCTTAATTATCCATGGGGAATCTATGTCAAAACGGATTTCACTTTGTATGTAGCAGATAGTAATAATAATCGAATACAAAGTTTCAAGTTCGGTGAATTAAATGGAACCACCGTAGCAGGAAGTACAGCACCAGGAACTATTACACTTCAAGGACCAGGTGGTATTGTACTCGATAATGATGGATATATGTTTATCATGGATACTGCCAATTCACGTATCATTGCATCAAGTTCAAATGGATTTCGATGTGTGGCTGGCTGTTCAGGTTTAAGTGGATCAACACCAGACAAATTATACAATCCTCGTTATATGGCATTTGATACCTATGGTAATATGTTTGTAAGCGATGATGATAACTATCGAATACAAATATTTACTCTTACATCCAACACTTGTAGTAAGTTTTTTTATTTTAAGTCATTAACCCCAAAGATGGATAATTCTTAAAAAAATGTTGAATATGTTTGATTAATTCTATATATGATAGAACACTAGTAAAATCGATGACGAAGAATATTATTTTTCTATCATATATAGCATAATTACTTTATTTATTTCATAGATCAAACAACCGTTGGAAGTTCTTCTACTTCATTGAGCACTACAACACAAGGTAATTTCAGTTTTTACATTTTTTTTTAATAAATAATTTTTTTTCCTATATAGGAAAAACAACCGTTGGATCTTCTTCTACTTCAATGAGCACTTCAACACAAGGTAATTTCAGTTTCCTGCGTTTTGTAATACACAGATTTCTTTTCTCTATAGGAAAAACAACGGCTAGTACTGTATCAAATCGAATGAATAGCAGTGTCTCTTATCAAACGACTAGTACTGTAACACATTCAATAATGGGTAATATGGCGAATAGAATGAGCATCAATATACATAATTCAATATATTATAGCCTTTTTTTAATTTCTCTTCTATTCTTTGCCTTTTAATAACTATTAAAAGTCTATAATTACTTTTTCTTCTTCTTGCTTACGTCGCATTCATATTATTCTCGCTAATGATTTTTTCTCGGATGATATCATTTTCAATACTGATTGCTTCTCTAATGAAACTATTTATTCTTCATATTCTTTCTACATGCTTGTTATTGTCAAGTAATAAAAGCTTCACTCGATGTTTCCTCTATGCTTCAGTTGCTATACATATATGATAAATTTTAATGAAATAAAATATATATATATATTATTGTAGCATCTGGTTCGAAGTCATTAGCTAATACAACATTGAGCAATGTGCTAAATTCAATATCTAACAGTGAATCTTGATATCAATTGATTAAGCATTTTGTTAAAAATCATCTAATGATAGTCTATTATGTGAAGAGCAAGAGCAGATACAAATGTTTTTTCTTCTTAACAAACTTTTTGAAGTGTCATATAAAAATAAAAATAATAATATATCTAGTTAGATAACGTGATTATTTTACATCTTATCAGTCAAGTCAGTTTCTTGAATACTTAATCAACTCGATGAATTAATTATTTTTGATGTCATGCTTTCACGTTCAGTAGTGTGCATGTGTTTTATGTTCATAATATATATATGATGTATCATATCTGAAGATCATGGGAATTATTATATTTGTTTCTAAAAAGAGTCAGACTGGTGTCATTTAAATAGTATTTTACATATTTAACTAATGCATCTATAAGTTTATCCAAGTATAATTCTTTTCTTTTGATTATTTTTAATAAATAAAAATAAATCTTTGTCCTCATGTTCTTGAAGATAAGGATATTACTTATCTCACTGTCACTCACTCTCACCCACACCCTATTAATATAGTGTTCTACTAGTAATTAAGTGTCAATCATCAATATGTATTGTTCCATGTACAATATTAATCGCAGATGAATATGGAAACCATTGCTCCTCATCATGATAATATACTGTATCACCAACTACAGCAAATAATTGAGGTCCAGCACCCATTGTTTCATAATATTTTGCATTGGGTAAACCATCACTATTCCGATTGAATTCTTGTTTTAAATATTCCCATGTGCGCTCAACACCTAAGACATAACACGGTAATTCTGTTCGTATACTAGTGAATATAAAACTGCATGTATTCATATTATTGATTTCGATATGGTTTCTTTTCTTTGCATCGATAATTATATGCCTCAGTAAATATGTATATTTAGGGGAATATAAATGTAAAGAAATACAGTCGAGAAGAAAAGAAGTATTAAAAGAGTATATGCAAATAATTGCTCAATGATGAATGAAAATATTTGCTGGTATTATAAATCAAACATTAATCCGTGGCCAAACACATCAACAACCGATATAAATCAAAAGGAATGGAGTAAATATAGAGATATTGAAATTGATCTGATTGAAGAAACCTATCAAAAGAATGAATCCTATGTATTATTAGATCGATATCGAATAGATTTGAAAGAATTTATTCAAATAAAACTAACAGATGAAACAAAACAACGACCAATTAAACGTCAAACTAGGGATGCGCAGTTTCAGTTAACCGTACACTGTCAGCCCTGACAGTGACGCACTGTAGCACTGACGTCACTGACACCGACTCACTGACGCTATGGATTTACTGGCACCGTCGGTGTCGCTGACACCGAAGGCATGCACCAGTGTTCACTGTGGCACTGATGATCACTGCTGCACTGATTCTCAGTAAACACTGGCAGCACTGAAATCGGTGTTCTGTGGTGCACTGACACACTGGCTTCGTCAAAACGTATACATAATAATGGTTTAGTTTTATTTTTTATCAAGAAATAATATTAAGAGATGCGCACTCATATATTCATAAAATCATATACTGTCTTGATTTGTATAATTATATTATATCTATTGATATCTTTGATTTTTATTTATATATTTTGTTAGAGGAGGAAAACCTAGGGCGAAGTAAGCAAATCTACGAATACAATATATTTTGTTAAGTAATTTATAGCCTGAATGTTGACGTGAGCGTGTCAGTGCACCACTGAACACCGATTTCAGTGCTGTCAGTGTTTACTGAGAATCAGTGCAGCAGTGATCATCAGTGCCACAGTGAACACTGGTGCATGCCTTCGGTGTCAGCGACACCGACGGTGCCAGTAAATCCACAGCGTCAGTGAGTCGGTGTCAGTGACGTCAGTGCTACAGTGCGTCACTGTCAGGGCTAACAGTGACAGTTTTTCAGTATTTTCACTGAAACTGCGCATCCCTACGTCAAACTGATTCAACTCAAAAAGAATGTTTACGTGAATATCGTTTTGGTTCATCACTACCATTAATATCAGATAGATCTTCATCCTCGTCGTCTTATGGTAGTTCTGATTGTTGGTGTCCATTTTTAACTGCTTGGCTCAAGAGTTCTGCTGGTCAACAAACTTTTATTCATTTCTCTAAATGTATTGAAGCATGTGCTCAAGGTATTGAACGTGAAGCTGCTTTGTATGGTAATCATAGTAATGCAGAAGCAGCATATATGGCTGAAAAAATTCGTCAATGTTCAAACAAATCTCGTGTGGAAATATCCAAACAATGCATTTCTTTCTATACAAAAGATAGTTTTCTATATTATGCTTTGAATGAAGCTTTACGAAAACAAGATTATACAAAAATTGAAACATTTGGACCATTATGTTATCTTATTCGAAATTATTCTTGTCTTGAACAAGATTATATTGGCATTGTTTATAGAGGATTACAATTAGATTATACAGATATAGATCTCTACAAACAAGATATAAGCCAATGGAAAACTTGGCCAGCATTTACATCGACTAGTAAAGATCGTCAACTGGCTGAAATGTTTGGAAATACTTTAATCATTATTGAAGTGACCAAGGTTAAACTTAGTTCTCCACGAGCTTATGATATTGCTCATATATCGAACTATCCGCATGAGCAAGAAGTACTAATGCCAGCTGGAGTATCATTTCAAATACTAAAAGTTGAACAAGATTTGTCACAAAAATATATTATATATGTGAAAGTTTAATTATTATTGCTGATTCTTATGTAATAAACTGATTGTAACGATTTCTAATAGAAGAAATGTTTCTATTGAGAGTATTATATTTCTCCTCATCGAGAATCACATCGATTTCATACAACCCATACACTTAAAATATCAATCTGCCAGACAGAACGAAATAAGATGGAAAGCAAAGTATTATATGATGTATAAAATAAGAGTAATATTTGAAATGAGAAGGAATCATAAGAACAAGACAAATATTGTTAGAATGCATGTCTCAATCCATCGTGCTTGTTTTTCTTTTACGCAGAACACACAAAAATTGTGCGTGAGTGGTATGAGGTTGTTAATGTAGTATAAACACAATATACATACTTTCAGAATGGTTTTTGCAGTATTTATCAACACGAACAAAATAGAGTGCTGCAGTTTTTACTGTTGAAAAGAAAAGATGAAGCTGCATGAACGAAGATTTTTGACACATTGATACGATGATGTTTTTATAAAAAAATCACTGAACGATAACCGTTTTATTTCTATCATTTCTAGTACATTGTATTAATTTAGTTGTATTTTATAAAATGAAAACATAAATATTTTATTTATAGAAAAATAGAAGAACTCATTAATAAATTTCATCTAATTTAACGAAGATATGTGCCAATAGGGTCAAGTTATTTAACCTTTTACTCGCTTAGAAATATGATGACCGCTGGATAACGATTTCTTCTTTTTCTCTATGTATATTTGTTTTACCTTTTATATTCAAACTAGAGGATGCACCCGCTGCAAAATCCTTGTCATACAGTTCCCGCTGCAAACTCTCTCTCATACAGTTGTCGCTATAAAATTCCTCTGAAACCGTACCCGCTGCAAAATATTTATATCTCAAGCACCATCCGTATCCGACCCCTCGCCACTTTTCCTTGTATATGCAGAAGTGTGATTGATGGTTTGGTGACGTTAGTTATCACAGAACGACCTGGGTGAACTTTCAATCACGCCCCCTCCCCCCCTCCCGATAACTATGCCAATCCCCGTCGACCGTCTTAGGTACCTAAGGAAGCGTCATGGAAAGTTGTGCGATTATAGCTATTACAGGGACCGAATGCATAGCGAATAGAAGATGTGCGCTCAGACGGCCTTCGGCCGCCTTCGCTAGCTATTTTTTTTAACTTTTCAAAATGCTGCAATCCTATTGGTCAGTTCTATAGATTGCCTGTAGCAAGCGTAGGATTCATTTTTTTTCGGAAAAAAGTACATGTCGACCTTCCCCTGGGTGTAGCCATCATTTCTAGAAAGTTTCATTGCATTTGCTCGTACGGTCTCCAAATGCATAAAGAACAAACAAACAAACAAACAGACAAACATTCTTCTTTATATATATAGATAGATAAACATAGAGTTAGTTTCCCGACGCATTTCGTGTTATCGACAATCATGAGGGTATGGGTGGATGTGGATCAGTGATTGGATACTGAGTACATTACTTAGTACTTTTTGTACTAAGTCCTTAAAAATTCAGAATACTTAGTACATTTTTGTAGTACAAGTACAAATACTTAAGTATATTGTACTTAAGTACATGTGTACTTAGTACATGTACTAGAGTACATTTGTACTAGTACTGTACTAAGTACAATGTACTTAAAGAAATCTTTTCTGTTTCAAATCAATGTTATTAGTTTTCCCATTTGTGTTTTATCAGGTTAAAAATATACTTCTGTATGCTTTTTACCTATTCGACATCGTTTAAATATTCAAATATTGCTTACAATATTTAAAACGTTTGTTATACATGAAAATAAATATCAAAATCTCATGAATTTATTTTAGTGTAACATTTGTTTCTAAACTGATATTACTTTATTGTTAGGATATTTTTTCCTCAAAAGCCTTTCATTAAATTCGCTTTTATACAAGGTTGTGATAGCCTGCGATGACAAATAAAGTAAGATGTTTTAATAAAAAACTAAAATATTTATTAATTAAAAAATGAAGTTTATCTTGAGGGTGTCAGTGCGGATATATTATATTTATCTCACACTTGCACACACTACACTCACATCTTCAAGCGGCTCTGTTATGCCACTTCTCGATAAAAGTCTTATTTGTCTAACTCATTGTTATCAATCGTAAAATAGAAATCTCATTAATTTTATGCTGATAAATATGAAAATGGGATGATGTTACTGTTATGCCTCTTTTATTTTCGCTACTACAGATGTCATTATGTTACAGATTACGAAATATTGATGTATGAATACTAATCAAACCTAAACATAAGATTATACTTAAGTACATTGTACTAAGTACAGTACTAGAACAAATGTACTCTAGTACATGTACTAAGTACACATGTACTTAAGTATATTGTACTTAAGTACAAGTACGTAGTACATTTGTTAAGTAAAAAGTAATTGTACTTGTACTTAATGTACTTGTACTTGTCCAATCACTGATGTGGATGTAGTTATTGATGAAAGTATGAACGCCATATTCACAAGACCAATAATCGCACCATTTATATTCACTATACTATTAGATGAACAATTTAGTCGTTCTATTTTCGTCGATCTAATTACTTCACCCACTAAATGAAGTGTTGAGTTGTGCCCGACGTTAATGAGAGAGACAGTAGTTATCATACAATCTGTTTTACTTTTTTTAATCTATTTGGCAAAAGAATTAAGCTTGGGATCGAATAAGTGTTATCTAGTGGTGATCAAGTATGAATGCGAATATGAAAAATGCACTCATGCAAAGATTTTAGTTAAAGAATATAATTGTTTAGAAGACGAAGAACAATTGAAAATCCATAACATGATTGGCTATGTGCAATAATTAAGGCGTTTACATGAATATCAAATAGTTTATGATTAGCTAAATGAGACATTGAAATATTATACTCTATCATAGTTATGTTTTATATTTTTGAATTTATGAACCATTTTAATGATTCTTTCAATTTTGTCGTCAAATACACATTGTCCAATGCTTCAGAAGTTATATATACACAACATCAACTTTAATCTTTCATCTGCTTTCAATGTGTTTTATTTTAAGTGTGCTCATTGATTACAAGTCAGACAAAGATCTCACGGCTATGATGTTTTCGTGGCCTGTTTTGTCCACAGTTGCCATTTCCACAACATTCACTTGGACCAGGCCATGTAAATATATTACCAATACAAAATAAAACAGCTTTATTGCATCGAGCGCATGGTTCAAACAGAGCAACACCAGGAATCCCTATGTAAATATCGAACAACATATATAATTCAATTAAACATAATCAAATTTACTTACACGACCAACTCCAGCTGTTCGCCCGACATCCATATCTCTTAAAGCATTCATCATGCCAATCACAACATCGACCCTTTGGACCACAACTCGGAATAATCGCATCGCAACCGTGATTATCTCTTGTTTGAAACATCATTCTCATCAAAACATTGTCATTTGTATATTTTGAAGAATAATCAGCACATACACAAAATATTGTATGACTAACAAAAACAATTATTGTTGATAATTGCATTTTGTACTATTCAAAAACAGATCCAACGAAAATGATTCTTAATACTTCATTTCTTTTCATTGTCATCGGATGCTAAATCCCTGTGTATATATATATGATATCATCATGCAGTGGTATTGCACTAAAACGAAATATGATTCCCAACCTCAAGAGTTACCTTTATAATATTCAAAAATAGCGATGAAATTACAAAAAACACAAATATTCAGCTGCTTCATTTTTCAATTTCACCATTTCGATATTTTTCTTTAAATGTAAACTTCTTGGATGATTTGGAGGCAGAGCATTACTATAATCTTTCTTGCGATCGTATGTCATACCGATGGTCCCATACAGAACACTAAATTCAACGTGGTTGTCTGGCAGTTTTTGACGATATACAAAGAAATATGATAGCACACGATTGTATGCGGAAGTAAAACTGAGACAAACAATGAACTCATATCTGCTTATCAATCCTCCGTATATAGCACCAGGTTGAATAGGTTGAGTCAATAGAAAACGCTGTGTTTTTTAATCTTTGTACGAGAAAGCAAATTCGTAAAGTCACGCATCTCATCGATGAAAGTAAAAAATTTGACATTAACAGTATTTTGTCATTTCAAAAGATAGAGTTTATGTTTGAGATTTATCTGTTTCACAGTCAGTAACACTTTTCTATATATTTATCATCAACAACGTCTTTCATAATACTAAACGTTTTCTTCCGTTACTACGTGTTCTCATTCACTATGAATAGACATATAACGTAGTAATCTCGACATCTCTTAATAATTTAATATTCTATTCAGGTTAATTATGGTGTTTATTATTTCATACTAAATGGTTATGATAGACAATGCATAGTACCATTACTCTTCTAAATAATCGAAAATTACTTGATAAACTTTTCAGCAAGCTATAATATTTTGATATATAGAAATGAGAAAAATTCATTAAGAATAATGTTTACTTTCTCTTAAAGTAATTATAGTTGTTTATAATCTTCGATGTTCTCTATCAAGATTGATTGATCAATAAGATGACGTTTTCATTTCGTTTACTACTAGTCTATTAGTGACATTTTCATTGATTAATTCATTAAAATTGCTGTTTTTCTCTTCCAAGCTAAATATATCTTTCATTATTTCTTAACAATACCAAAAAAACTTATTACTGATATAAGTCAAGAAACACTTGAATCGAAGATTGTTTCGACAAAACTAAAAGAAATCTAAGTGAGCGTTAATAACAGTTAGAAGATATCGAGACAGATTGTTTAGTTTTGTATTAACTAGATTATTCGGATGAATAAAGACGGAAATTAAGTTGAATATATACTGGAAAATTAAAAAAAAACAAGTTAGCAGAAAATAAAATAAATACTCTAACTATTGTGTAGTTTATTCTTACTTTATCTGACTGAATAGTCTTCATATACTGTAATATTTCTTATCAAACAGCTAAGCACAGTGTGAAACAATTCATAACTGTGTAGCTCATCAAGTGTAACATCTCTCTCGATAAATATGTCTTCATCATCCGAGATCCTATCTATACTGGCTTCCGTACAAACATATTTATATCAATTTATTTGTCCAATTTTTATGCTAATGGGTACTGTCGGTTGTGGAATAAATTTAATCGTATTCACTCGAAAAAATCTACGAAAAAATCCATGTTCAATCTATTTCATCGCATATAATGTTGCTAATTTAGGATTCATTTATGCTTTGTTATTATCTGCAACGATAGAAGAAGGATATAATATTGATGTTAGTATTCAGAGTCTGATCATTTGTCGTCTACGTCTATATACTGGTATTTTATTCGATGTTCTCAGTCCATTCTATTTGATTTTGGCTTCGATCGATCGAATATTGGTCACTTCACAGGATGCACTCGTTCGACAAAAAAGTACTCGACGTCTAGCTCTTCTAAGTGTGATAGGTGGGACATTATTTTGGACATTGTTTCAAAGTCATGCATTAGTATTAACAAATATTATCCAACTGGGTCCTAATCTATTTGTTTGTTATTTTCAACCGGGTGTTTATTTGGATTTCTTTACTTTTTATGCGATTCTGAAACAGTTTGTATTCTTCTTACTAATGATTATATGTGGAGTATGGTCGATCAAAAATATTCGAAATCTACAACGTATTCGGATTGCTCCTGATTTATCTGTCAGTCGAACAGTTGTTGAAAATAGCTCACAAGCTACTGCAAAGAAAGATCGTCAAATGATTCTCATGTTACTCATAGATATCATTATTTCTGCACTATTCAGTTTTGTTTATGCTATCTATCTGCTATATTTACAAATAACACAAAACTACAATAAAACGACTGATCGGATGGAAATTGAAGATCATATTGGATATTTATGTCTATTTTGTATTGGTATACCATATTGTGTTAGTTGTTATGCAAATTTAATTGTTTCGAAAACGTTTCGAAACGAAGTTAAGAAAGTATTTCTATGCGGATAAACATTTTGTTTTTTTATCCAGAGCACAAAGTTTGAAGTAGACATTAACAGAACAATATCAAATTAGTTCGTTTGCGGTGATTAGCTTTATACATTCGTGTCAATTTTGTTTGTTGTATTGATGTTGTTTAGTGGATGTAACAGATTATTGCCAATAAATAAAATTCTTCTCTCTATTCTCGAATGAGATAATGACACATATTTGTCTATCGAAATGCATAGTTTATGACATTTCATTGTGTAATCTGAGCTGTTTTGAAATATTTCATTGAAAAATGCAACTATAGTGGAATAAAAATGTTGTAAAACGATTTAATAAACAAATAGTAACTTTGACAAAAATACAAATCGAATTATTCTCTTTAAAATAATTAATTTCTATTTTAATACTAATCGACTTTCAACAATTTATTATAGAGAATTAAGATATATTCCTTTTTGTTAAATCAAAATTCGATCTATATTGCGAGTAGGTTAACTGTATTTTATCACATCATTGGTCTTATCTAAGATGAAATGAAAGCACTAAATCGTATATCTGTTGTATTATTTAAGGTTTGATTGAGAAGCTAAACAATAACAATGATGTAATTTTATCTGATGACTCAAACAAAATATCAATCTTTATATTTTAATGTTGTGAAGATTGTATGAATAACATTTTTATTGAGTCATTGATGGGAAAATGATTTTTTATCAATGTAATATTGTATTACAATGATGAAAAGGTCATTATACTTTATCGGTACTACCACTACAGATGTATATAAAAGGACTAGTAAATCACATTGAAAAGCATCATTTTCATACGATTAACAAATATTCGATCAATAATTAAACTTATTATGTCTTCTATAAGATATATGGCTTGTTATTACTTATTAATTTTCTGTATTGTTGCCGAGGGATTACCAAGATATCGTCGACAAGGTCTAGGACAATCTGCTATGGAACAATCTCTTAATTCTGCTCGCACAGGAAGTGTATGTACAAAATAAATACATCTCTAATTAATGACTTTCCTTTTTTATTTTAATCAGTGGTCTCATAATATACAAGCTAGTGGTAGTATGAATAATTTCAAAAATTATCAGTATGGCGGACAAATTGGAGTTGGTATTCCAGTCTATAATAGAGGATATAATAAACCATCAGTTGGTTTGGGTGCAGCTATGAGTGGTGGATACGCAAGGTATAATGTAAGTTTTCAATCATGAATTTCTTGTCCTATTCTCGGTTTCCTATATTCAGGGTCAAAGGTCTGCAGCAAAACCAGAATGGGGTGTTGGTGTTGGTGTCAAAATTCCATTTGGTCGTGGTTAAATATTTTTTATTTTTCTAATTATAAAGAATTATTTTTCCTATGAATAAAATACAAACTTCTTTTTCGAAACTGAAGAAAAACGTTAAACTAGCAGATTTGTTACGAATTAATCGAATAATGAACAGTTTAAATTATTAAAACAATCACCATCCTTATTCTCATATACTGATCAAAGTTAGAAGTATAAAAAATCAGCAGTGTTCAGATTTACGCGAAAGAAAAATTTTGAAAAATACCGAAGTTTTTCATCACCATCCATTGTCACATAAAGATTCATACAATAATATATCAATTAATTATAACGCATATTTCAAAAATTCTATATCGAACCGTCTATACCGTCAACTACACAAGAAGCTTTGGAACTTTTCGAAGTTCCTAGACACCATATTACATATCCGAAATAGAGTACAGATAGATAACCTGTGAAGCAACGAAAGGAACTCTAAAAATTTTTCAGGAGACTCCCCCAATCACTGCGAAAGATGGTACAGTTTATCAAATAGAAGTAACGTATAGCAAGCGTGCAGCGAAGACACAAAACTTAGAAATTACCAGGAAATTTCAGATATTAGTCAAGAAATAATGAGTAATACTATATACATCGAATATATATGACGAATAAAAGAAAAAAAGAAATCACCAGGAAATTTCAAATATTAGTCAAGAAATAATGACTGATACTATATATCAGAAATTAACTCGAAATTTTGTTATAATTTCTATATTGTCTTCTTACTTCCTACCCTATGCGTTATGTGTCTGAAATTATCTAAAAGTTTTTGAGGTAAGTGGATGTGCTTTTAGTATTTTTTGTGGTTGATGGGGAACTGGAAATTTGCTCTGAGTGAAAATCTAAACATACCTCATCAGGGGGCACTTTTGAAAATGATTCATAGAAAATTGGCTAAGAGAACGAGCACATGTGTATATATTAGTAAGCATGCAAATATATAAATCGTGACGAAAGAAATGATGAATGCATACGCAACATTATTGAAAGGAAGTGACTATAAACAGGTAAGAGTAAATATAATTGACAAAGTAAGAATGAGAAAAAATGAAAACGTGTTTGTTTTTATTAAAAAGAGTCATATCAATGTGTATATATATATATATAATATTATTCTACGAATTTTTAAGATTCACTTCTAATATGATGTCTGTCATACAATCAGACATCGCGAATCGTGTCAAGTTCTCCAATATCTTATATCAATTGTTCAGTAGAACCGGCCAGTTTTTCGTCACTACACTTAATCCTATTTTTACTGCAATCAATAAACGTGGCATTACTGCGACGAATTCTTTCTCATTGATACAGCAAAAACCGTAAGTTTGATAAACGCTGTCAAAATATTTGTATAGAAAATAATTTCTTTTCTACTCAATTAACATCATTGGAATCACTTCCTTCTGAACTCTTCTATCATGAGATTTTCATCTATCTGAATTCTGTTGAACTGATCGATGCATTTTTTAATATCAATAGTCGCTTTCATAATCTAATCTATGCCTATCTCTATCAACATGTTGATCTAGATTCGATTTCTTGGGAGCTTACACATCGTTACTGTTATTCTCAAGATAACTGGATTCCAATCCAAGTTAATGGTAAGTCTAGTCTCCTACTTTGTAGACACCATTTTATTTAGAAACCTGTTCGATTCTTCTAGAGATGGCAAACTTCAATCTCACTCGTATTCAATTTACATTGACATCAATTCAATGTAACTACAATCAACTTCGTCAGTTATTTCCATTATCATACAAAGATTTTAGCATTCTCTATCCGCAGTTACGTGCTCTTTCGATTCAGGATATCTTGGTTTCAAAAAGAAGTACCGGTCGAATTCACTTCTATCTAAGAATATTTATTAAGAAACTGCACACCTTGCGACTCAATTATACTTTTTCGTCATCTTCAAAATCTCCTTTACAGTGTTCAAAACTATTTTTATCGTCAAATTGCACACTAAAATCATTGTCTATTGAAAATCGTTTAGTGTATTCATTACATCTGTATCAATTGGAACATTTGAATATTGAACTAGATAATGAAAACGACTTACATTCATTATTACTGTATAGTCTACCAAACGTTAAGACTTTAAAAGTTAACTTAACATCATATGTAGAGTCAACATTACTGAATGTTATGAATTCTAATACTCGTAACATCTCTTTACATTTGAAGGAATTCGAGTTGAAAAGTTACACTGCTTCTTTTAACTACAGAGCGTTGGAATCATTAATTTTGAATTTCAGTCGATCATTGAAGGTATTAACATTCAACTTGTATACGCGTTTACTGGATTCGACTGCAATTGATGGTCAACGATTAGGTGAGTTGATAGATACAGATGAGAATCAACTGGAATGTTGACGATAACTTATTCTCATTTATTTTATTATTTAGAAAATAATCTAGTCTCAAATTTACCACATCTAGAAAGATTCAATTGCAGTTTTTGGTTCATTTTTCCGTCAGATCTTTTTCCATCTCTGCTCGATGTTCAACTGTATCTTGATACATTTAAGACTGATTTCTGGATATCATCACAATGCTTTCCACCAGTCTACTGTTTTTATAAACAAACTGAAACGGAATCGTACACTACTAGTTTCGTGATGCAGTCATTGCCACAAATAGAATGTTCATATGATTTGTTTCCTTCTTCTGTACCTTTAATCTACCTTTCTAACAGAGGTAATATGTATCATCTAAAAGATGTCAGTCAAATACGTGTTAAAGATGATAATTTATCAACTGAATTTGTTCAATCTGCTAGTGATCTCTTCCCGAACTTGGAACACATCACATTTTCTAATTGCTGTATTACATCTACCATTAACAATTGGAATGGTACTTCGATAATGACGTCAGTAACATATATTACGTTCAAGAATGAATTCCCAACTTCCGAGGGTCTGAAAAGGATACTTTTCATATTCCCAAATTTACATATTATAGAATCACATTCATATAAGAGTCGAAAATACTCTAGCCTACGTCAAGAAAATGATCTGATTGGAGTTAGAGAAAAAATAAAGAAATTTGTTGGTTACCAATGCGGATCGAAAAAAACGAGTAAGTAAACATACTCTCTATCAATTACTTATTGTTATCTTATTTTAATTTCATTTTCTCTTCTAGTCTCGACAGCTCAACAATATTTGAAACTATTATTTCCAAATGCCACAATCCTTTTATATGCAACAGCGTATTAGCACTGAAATTGATAGGATTACTATGTACTACTGCTAACCGTCTACCAGACATTTTTGATAGTATACGTATTATATAAAAAAATATAATGATAGCCTGGACAAATTGAAATGATTAAAATACAGCAGTCTTGCGGTTGAGAAACTTCATCTATTACAATAGTTTCTTATGCAAATAATCTTTTCTTTTTATTCATTAAGTTGTGTACAATAATAGCGTCATACAAACTATATTTTGAGAGAAAAGTTTATCAGCCAGAAAACTGATCGTCATTATTTAATATTCGGTTTTTATCATAATATCTGACGAGAAATACTCTTCAGTTAGACCTAATTATGTAATATAAAATAATTTAAAAAAAAACGAGTGTCGAATTGATCGATGACTGTGGTCTGGATAGACCGAAAGTAATGCTTCTGTCTCATAACTTTTGAGTTGTGTTAGTCATCGATCACGGCTCGTCTCTTTCTTTTCTTATCGAAATCATACTTAAGTTGTATATGTTTATAGATGGTGTAATTCTTTTTTTTCCTTCATTAGATTACAACACACAATATTCATATTGTGAAATTTCAAAGATACAAAGAAAAATAAAACAAAAATGTTTGTTAACCGACATAGGATTCGAACTGTCGTATGATTATAAACGAATAGCTGAATGTAATTGTCTTATCTTCACCACATCCATGCTCAAGAAATTAAATCAATATTTTCGTTGTTAAACTATTTTGAATATATACATGTCTTATATTACTTCATATGATGTTATTAAGTGTATAGCATAATTACAATATACAAACGACTCGTTAATATGAAACGAAAGAAGAAAAAAAAAGAGACTAACGGATTGAGGTATCAACAAACACTAAATAGTATCGTTTATATTCTTCTTTTTCTTCATATAATATAAAAAGAAAAGTCACATGGTGATCAATGATGAAAAAGACAAAGGTATATTTGTTATTAATACTAGTTTGATAATACACAAGGTAAGTAATAAGTGAGATATATCTGATATACAAGTATATACAATACACGTGTATCTTTGAGTGATTCACACCATCAATGAACTTTTGCATGGAATCTAAAGTTTTTAATATTTTCTCTCTTTCTTCTATTTTTAAATAATTTATAGATATGCTACTGTTTTAAAATCAATGTTTGCACGAAAATTAGTTATTTTTGGTTCAATTATTTTTTCAATTTGTTTCCTCATAAATGTGTTTCTTCGTACCAAATTTTTGCAACCAACACGCCATTGTGAAGAACAAATAAATGTGTCGAAAATAGAAACTTATGAGACGTACATGAATCAGATATGTTCTCATATGTTGAAGCATTCAGATATATTAAATAATAGTGATATATCGATACATATTAACGTACCTAGAACGGTATCTCGACTCAGTGAATCGAGTGTTAACTCCTTGTGAACATATGATCGGAATGAATGTTGTTCGAGCCTTTTCTGCTTTTTGCGAACGCTATAAGATTACGTACTGGATGATGGATGGGTCTATTGCTGGTTCAGTCTGCCACTGGGATATCATTCCTTGGAATCGAGATTTTGACTTTTTCGTACCTAAAAATGACAGAGAACTTCTTGAACGTCAATTTCCGATAGAGCAACATGAGCAAGGTAAGTTAAAGCATGGACCAACAAAGATTTTTCCTGAGTCAAAATCGAAAGTAATCCCTTCTAAAAGACGTTATCCGTTTATTGATATATTTTACTATGACGAGAACAAAACTCATATTTGGGATCATAAGCAATGTTGTCATCATAATATTAGTAAATCTGTTGTATTTCCGTTAAGTATTCGTCCACTTGGTTCTCTATGGCTTCCTGCTCCACGAAATCCATTCGGCTATTTTCAAGAGTTGCATCCACCTTTATTTTCTCATGTGGAAAGTGAATGTCATGTCAGAGGCTACGCCGCGAATATAGTGAAAGTAATGTTTGAACCACCGATGATTGTACAATGCGAAACTCTTTCTCGAATGTATCCATTTGTAGAAAGAACAAAGAATAATATAGAACGTCTTATACTTGATGGAGAAGTTTTACAAACAATGTCAACTTAACAAGCTATGAAGCAATTATCTGATAATACAATAGTTTGACTCAAAATTTATTTGATTTTTTTGTTGATATCTTATTGTAAAGCTTCATTCTCTTTGATCTTCTTAAGATATAAAGTATTGTTCATCGTCGGAAACAGTTTCTAACTTATGTACTTATAACATTGATAATCATTACAACAAGATATGTGATGAATGGTTAATGCTATTTGAGGAAATTCAAGAAGCAATTTGTACGAACAAAATATTTTATTATGCTAATGGTTCGAGTTATGAATAATGAACAAGTATTTCATTCAATTAAATTAATAAATCTGAAGAACCTCATATTATCATTTGTCAAAATTTTCTTTTCTCTCTCTGGTTTTTTTAAAGTAAATACCATGAAGTATAAGTAGTCTATGTTTCATAAATTCATATGTTCTTTTATCTCATACTTATATTAGTAAAGGACTTATACAGAAAAATTGCGCATGAAGTTTTTCTCGAATATTAACTAAAATAAAAGGTAAAGCTGTAATAAAGGAGAATGTTTGTTATAATTCTAACAGAATATGAATTAAAGAAGATACAATACATTTTTATAAGAATAAATGAAGCGAACGGTCACGAACATTATTTTTACCTCTACATACATATAAAATCGAGGATATTGATCATTATTTAATTCTCATTCGTTAAATATCCAACGACATATTTTATTTTGTTGCGTACTATTTTATATGAAAATATACTAACCTTCAAGTAACAATATAATCAATGAAACAACAATCTAGTGCCTAAGTCTAGGAGTCACCATCGACTTACTCGCTAGTTTTTTTTTTCTTAGATATTTTACAGAAATTTCTTCTATAGCATTTAGTTTTTCGACATTTGTTCAAATTTACTAACATTTAGTTTAGTTCTACAGTGAACTTAAGATGGTAATTGAATCATATTTATAGTAGAAAAAAGAAGACGAACCTAAATCAGACATATTCATACATAAACTATGAATGATATAAGTCCACAAATTATCTATTGTTTTTTTGGCCAAGATGTTTCTTCTTTTTTACTTGATTTGCTTTCTATCCTTTGTAAAAGATATCAAATTTAACGTTAGAATATCAAAAAAGGAAGCAGAATAGAACGAAAAAAAATATTTATTGAATAATTCCAAACTCGAAAATGACCAAAAAAAATAAAAACGAACAAATATTTATATTAACATGTTTTTAATAGAATTTCTATATAATCCGCTCCATAATTGGCAACAGCAATGTCTAACCAATTATCTCCATTGAAATATCCAACAGCAACTGCATAAGGTTCAAAATTATAACCCATTGTATATAATGTTTGATTTCCAAATGTTCCATTTCCATATCCTTGCACTAATAGAACTTCATTTGCGTCAGCAACTGCAGCAATAATATCCAATATATGATCATTATTGAAATCAGCAATTGTAATTCCATATGGACGAGAATCTAAACCAGTTGAATATATTGTTATAAGAGAAAATATTCCATTAATAGATCCAAGAAAAATATATATATTATTCGAACCAGAATTAACAACAGCAATATCCGAATTATTATCACGATTTAAATCAGCAATAGCAACTGCTGTTGGATGAGCATTATTTTCCATTGAATATAAAACTATTGTGCTCAACGTTCCATTCCCAAAACCAAAGAAAATACCTATATTATTTGTACCATAATTAACTACAACTAAATCACTTTGATTATCATGATTAAAGTCACTAACAGCCACTGCATATGGTCGTGACCCCTCACCAGTAGGATATATCGTTTCACGTCCGAAATGTTGAATACCAGAACTTATATGTACACCAATATTATTTCCTAAATAATTAGCAGTTGTAACATCTAATAGACCATTTCCATCGAAATCACCTACAGCCAATGATATTGTTCCCGCTTTTGATCCAGTCGAAAAAGTGGGTCCTACTAAAAATTGTCCATTACCTGATCCATAAAGTATCAATATACGATTTGTTCCAGGACTTGCAACAACAATATCCATTGAATTATCATTATTAAAATCCCCCGATCGTATGGCACGAGGACTAGTACCATCTCCAGTTGAATATAATATAACTGATGTAAATGTTCCATTTCCATATCCATAGAAAATTCCTATATCACCCGTATTTGTATTACAAATAACAACATCAGAATTATTATCATTATTAAAATCATTAACAATAATAAATGTAGGCATGGAATTATATCCAGTTGAATATGTAATTTGATTTTCAAAAGTTCCATCACCCCTCCCCAGAAAAATTCCGATATTATTTAGACGATAATTTGCTACGACAATATCTAATATATTATCTTGATTAAAATCACTAATAGCAATTGATTGTGGACGTGATCCATCCCCAGTTGAATATATCATAACTACAGCAAATGATCCATTTCCAAAGCCCAATAAAACACCAATACTATTACCAAGATAATTTGCAACAACAAAATCTATATTTTTATCATTATTAAAATCACCTGCAGTACCACCATATGGACTTGAATTATTTCCAGTAGAAAATAACATTACAGGTGCAAACATTTCATTATTCAATCCTATCAAAACACCAACCGTATTCGAACCAGCATTTGCTACAATAATATCTAAGATATTATCATTATTAACATCTGCACTAACAATTTCATATGGATATGAATTATAACCAACTGAATACATTATTAATTCACGAAATGACCCATTATTATAACCATAAAGTATTCCAACACTACCATTAGCAGCAAATGCAGCAGCAATATCTAAATAAGTATCATTATTAAAATCACGAGATATTATTGATGATGGTCTTAAACTAAATTGATTTGAATAAGTTATTTGATCTTCAAATGAATTATATTCATAACCAAGAAGTATACCAATACTATCTCTTCCTGTCTCAGCAATAATAAAATCAAATACATCGTCATTATTCAAATCACAAATAGCTATTGAATTTGGTTGTGAACCAATATCTAATGAATATTTTGTTAAATTAGTAAAACTACCATTACCAAAACCATAAATTATACTTATACTATTATTGTATGAATTAGCAGTAGCAATATCGAGTATATTATCGTGATTAAAATCAGCAACAGCAGCATATACTGGATGTGAACCTTGTCCAACAGAAAACATTGTCTCTGATGTAAATGTGCCATTGCCATAACTCAAAAAAATTCCAATAGTATCAATTGCTGAATTAACAGAAAGAACATCGGATTTATTATCATTATTGAAATCAGCAATAATAACTGCATACGGATGTATACTAATGCCAGTTGAATGTGTTAGTATATTTTGAAAATCTGCAGAAATATATCTAACTAAATAATTTATTGTTCCAATACCTGATTCAGCAATAAAAATATCCCATCGAGTATTATTATTAAAATCACCCAGAGCAACACCTTTAGGATTAGATCCAATAGTAAGTGGATATGATCGACCTAACCTAAAACTACGATTATTATATCCTGTAAGAATTCCAACATTATCAGTACCAAAATTTGTAATAATAATATCAAGATAATTATCATAATTAACATCACCTAAAGCTAATCCAGATGGATTTGAAAATGTAATATCGGTATATGATATTACTGTTCCAAATGTTCCATTTTTATATCCATATAAAATAGCAATATTATCGGAACTGGAATCAGCTATGACAATATCTAAATAAGTATCATTATCAAGATCACCACAAACTATTGAATCTGGATGAGATTGAAAACCTGTTGAATAAGTAATAATAGATTGGAAAGTTCCATCAGCTTTTCCAAAAAGAATACCAACATTACCACTACCAGAATTTGCAATAGCAAGATCAGTTTGATTATCAGAATTAAAATCTGCAACAAAAATTGCACTTGGATCCGAGTTTTTGCCAGTTGAATAAGTTACTGCATTAGTAAAACGTCCATTACCATATCCCAGAAAAATAGCAACATTATCAATACGAAAATTAGCAGCAGCAATATCTAATATATGATCATTATT